AGAACTTATTTTTTCTGAAGCCTTTTCACTGAGAAAGGTTTAGCTTTCACTGCTTGGAATTCTGACTGCTGTGTGTTAGAGCTTTTAAAGTTGAGTGTTCAAACGTTAAACATTCAAACACTCTTGATGTTTTATGCTAAAAATACAGCGTATGTAATGTAATGAATATAATGTTTGTCTTACAAATATGCCCATAATTACCAAATACATGGCAGACATACTGGAAATATCAGTGAGAGCAGCTTAATGGCAAGGTAAAGAATGCTTCCAGAGATAAAATACAGAGATTATTCTGTAAAATTAATTCATTCATAGGTGAAATTCCAGAATCTGTTATTAATGGTTAGATACAACAGATTAATTTTTATTAAATTAAGGAAATATTAGGGAAGGGGAAAAAAGAGATAAGGCAGGACTCTAAGCTTCAGAGAAATCCATCTTTCTGTCTTGTTTCATTGCTCTGAGCCATAAAACTACTTTAAGGACTAGTCATCATTTGTTTAGTAACCATGTACTTAGATAAATACTGGCTGTGATGATACATACTGAAGGCTTGCTTCCTGAATCTAGACAAAGGGGGTTGCTTGGGTGTGCACATGCTAGTGAAGGTAGGATGAAATATAGTTGATTGAGAAGTCTCTAGGAACTGCAGAAAATATCTGTAGCAGAATCCCTCTTCATCTTTGATGAACCTATTAATGTGATACTTGCCTGGGACTTGTTCAGAGTCTTCGGATGGTGACAGGAGTGCCTGTTCCCTGCCCTCCCACAAAGCCAGCACAGATGTAAAACTCACCTGTGACCGACAGAGATTGTGTGCAGACAAAGCTTCCATCCACCACATGGGTGGTGTTCCCACTGCTCTCCATACAGCTTTCTGCACAACTGCAGAAACAGTCCATATTGTGAAACACCCTGGTACCCTTGGCGTGAAACCCAGAGCATCCTTGAAGTATCGCTGACAAGATTTTAAATTGCAACCTGCTTTGTTATGATGGTACAATAGGAGTTGATGGAGTTGCATTAAAATAACAAGGCAGACTTGAGGCCTTTTTTCTGGGACTTAGTGCTTTTCTTTTTTTTTTTACTGTCTGCATGTTGTTTCTTCTCGGATGTTTTTATTCTTTTGTTATAGTCTTAGCATTTTTTTAGCTTTTATAGTAATAATCTTTAAAAACAAAACAAAACACCCCACAACCAAAAAACTGCAAGCTCTTTCTTTGGAAGAAGAACAATTTATCTTCTTTGGGAGGAATGGGGAATGATATTTTTTGCCCAGGGGTCTGTATCTCTGTAGAAGCACACACTGAGGGGGATTTTGGTTTGTGCTGGGCTTCCTCCTCCTTGGTGGATCGAGGAATGAAGATGGTGGGTTACGATGGGTAGGGATGGGCTCTGCTCTGTTCCATGACATTAGAGGGTTTGTGTGTGAGCTGAAAATGTGTCCTGCATGGAGGCTTTCAGAGCCAGCATCTTCCCAGTCTTGGTCCCTTCCTCACCCTCACATCTCCAACCATGGCAGCTGCTCTTGTGGGAGAAGCACAGCTCCGAGTTCCCCCTGGCATCCCTGATATGCTGATATCTCGATGCAAAGCTTGGCAAAATCCCAGTATCTCTTCCAACAGTCGTTTCTAAAATCTCATCTTGATAAAACAGAAAAACCACACTGACAACTTTTCAACCCCTTTGTTTTCCAAAAGCAATTATTTTTGCTTTTTGCTGTTTTCCACCATGTCAACCTCTCATTCTGTATTTTTGTAATTAGTGTGCCTCTTGCAGGAGTGAAGCTAACAGAGAGACTTACACAGATGAGCAAACAAGAAAAAAAATCTTTCCACTACTTCTCATGGAGGGAACTAGGGAAGAAAAAGTTTAATATTTGGCTTTTTTTGTCTGTGTGTCACTCATGGCTGTGAAAGGTATTGTAGTGCATTGGTTTTATGTTTCCCAGTTTGTATGAGGTGCTCTTTAGCTGAGGGAAAGGATGTGGATGTGTATATGTATTTATGTGTTTGTATATGTATTTTTTTTCTATGTGCATATATATATATATGCACGTGTGTGTGTATATGTAAGCACATAAGTATACACACAGGTGTGTATATATGCCTGTGTTTGTGTATATGGATAAGGATATGTATGTAGGGGATTCAGTTTAGGTTGTGTTAAACCCAGTTTACATCTATAGCAGGCGATGCTGTTACACCCATCTGTCTCAGCTTAGGAGCTGAGCTGACGTGAAGCTGAGAGCCAGTGGACATACACAGCTCACGCACGGTGACTGGTGACAATTCTGGCTCTTGAATGGCTCTTGACTGATTGCATATTGCAAGTCATTGCTGCTGTTCCATCTGTAATTTATTAATGATATACAAGGGTTCACTGTGACGAGGAGTTGATTATGAATGCTTATGCTTTAACACCTTAAAGACATAAGGGTTTTAGAAAAGGTCCTGTTCTACTGTCTCTCTGCAGCAGCGATCCATATGGTGTGTTACTGAAAAGGAAAACACCTGTGAGTGAAAAAATAAGAAATAGTGCAGACATAGATCTTCACTTCTGGTTTCCTACCAGGATGGTCTTTGTTACCTGGTCTATGAAAATAATATGAAACACTAGTCACTTACAAAGCATTGTTTTTATCATTAGCTTTTATTTTCTCTAGGGCAACCCTTTTTTTTTCTTTTTTTTTGTATATGTCTTAAATGGTTGACCTATATTTTTACTAAGCTCAATATTTCTGGATTCCCGTATCGTATGTATTGTCTTGGTGAAGTGAGTCACCTGAAATTTTTCAGTAGATACAGTTAGAGTAAATTATGGATTTGTAAATGATCTTATATTTCATTAGTGTTATTTCTGTCCTCTTCATTACACAACCAGAAATGCTGTTCTTTTTTTTTTTTTGACCTGTAACTTCTTTCGTCCTCAGGCTGCTCACCTAGAAGTCTCTGAAAACCTCAAATTTTGCTAAATATGTCTAAGCTGAAAACGTATTTTAAATTTAGCTCACAAGTAAAAATATTAAATACAAGTTCTGCCAGGACCACACTTTTAAGCTTTTTAAAGTATTAAAATTTTATTTCAAATTTCTGCTCTTTGTCATCTCGCTCTTTAGTCTTTATCTAGAACATAAACCACCTGTGGTTATTTGATTTTTTCGTAAAAGGACAAGGAGATCAGTACTGCCCTGGTTATTCCCTATAATATAATATTAATTCAACTTTTATTAGCTATTGTGCAAAAATTTGAAGAAGAATCCCTACCATCAGTCACTTCAACTGCACCATCTCAGCGGTCACTTGAGTAGCTTAAACATGACTAAAAGTCCCCTGGAGTACTATAAAATCCTTGGCAGTCCCACCATCTCTCTAGAAGGTTTGAGGAAGAGGCAGCCATCTACTCTCCAAGTAGTTTTCTTAATAACATGTTTCATTTTTGTATTCACACCTATTCACAGATCAACTTTGTTACGGTCGAGGGACTGTCAGAATTTCTCAAGTGCAAAAACCTAATGAATTTTCTTCTCCCTTGTCAGTCTCTTACTTGTTAATTAACTCCAATCTAATGTCATTTCTAATGAAAGGATATTTATAAAATTTATTGGCATTTAATTTGCACATTAGGGTGTTTATTTTCAGTGTTCTCTGCTGAGCAAGGTAATTTTTATCGTGTCGTGATTTAAGCTGCTACAGGATCAATTCAGATTTACTTTCCAGTTTCTTAAGAAAGTCTGTCCCAAAAAAATACCTCAAAACATATCATTGAGAGATTTTTTTTTTTGTTCCTGATTCATTTGTTCTCCTAGACACATAATTTATTCTGTCCTAGACCAATGTTATCAACCATTATATAAAAAAAGGAAAAAAGTTGCAGAAATGCCAGCAAACCTTGTAGTGCATGTTATTGGGAGTTCCTTGTTGAAGGCACCTTGACATTCGTACTCCTGTGAGCAAAGCTCATGTCCATGTACTAGTGATTTTTTCACCTTTTTATATTAATACATTGTATTATGTCTGATGTGTAAAAAATATTCTATCTAGGCTTGATTTAGCTTCAGAACTCTTCAAGGGCTTGTGATAAAAAGGAAACAATTCAGAGGAAGAGTTATGTTAAAATTTCAAAGAAAGTTACTGTTGGAAAGAGTCTTGATGACTTCAAACTTAAACTCATTTATTTTCACTCTTTAAATTTATCAGTTTTAATAACAGAAAAATTAGAAAAATTACAATGTGAACACATTTTAAAGTAATGACCAAAGATTATTATGTATTTCACTTCTTAATTTCTTCTCCTATGGCATCACTAATCCCACTCCTGAAGAGACTTTAATTTAATTACAGCAGAAATTTCCATGCTGGGTAAATCTCTACTTAGGACTTGTAACATGAGATCTCTTTGTTTCAAAAATCTACTGTGCTATTAATTTATGTTGTTCAGTTCTGTTTTCCCTCATATTACAAAGTACGTTGGCAAAGAAAATGACATCAGTGCTGGAATAAAATGATAGCGATGACTCTAACAAGCTTTTCCGTACCTTGAGAGTCCTTTGACTTCCCTCTTCGGGGAATTATTGTGCGTATCCCCACTCAGTGGTTATTACACCCAAGAGATTTATCAGGCAGTGCAGGCAAGAGAACAGTAACAGGGAAGTCCTAACTGTAATGTTAGTTTTCAGCGGTTTGCTACTATTTCCTCACCCATACCAGACAATTCTAATCAGTTAGCTGATGGGACCGCTGTAGGAATAAATGTCACTATTTGTGGTGAGATTTAAACATGAGGGAAAAAAGCCAGGTAAGGGTTAACTTGTTACACTTGCAGCCACACAGACTATTCTAGGGATGATGGGAGTACAGGAAGCTGTGAAAACTTTTTATTCCATTTCATCAACTAGGTTAAAAAAAAAAAACAAAAAACCTGCTATGATTTGTTTTAGGAAAGCCATAAGTGTTTTAGGAAAAAATACGAAATCGTTATCTCTGACACTGTATTGACAGGTTGGCAAGACATGTTTGGGGAATCGCAATAATTCAACGTCTCATTTGAAGACAGCAGAAACAGAGACAAGCTTTCAGGTATTTGGTTTCTGAGGAATTCTCATGTTTGTATTAAAAGGTGTTGTAAAGCATGCAATTACTTGGAGTGTATTTACACATTCCATGCTAATGTTTCTGAGACAGAACAGCTTACTCAGTTCAGACTTTCACCACTCGTGATTGCAATCACCCAAATGGCTCCCAGCTGGTAACAATTTGCAAAACTATTTAATACTTGAAGAACTGACCTCTCCTAGTAGTCAAATGACTTAATTTAATAATGTGATGTCCGTAGCACTAGGAACAGGAGAAGGGAGAGATTTCTGAAATAATTCTATATCTGCCACTGTGTGAAGCTGTATTCAGCCATGTCACCAATGGAAAAGTCTTGAGCACATTGTACACCTGAGCTCTTCTTTTGATAGACCGAGAGAAAAAGAAAAAATCACCATGATTATAAAGCAGAATAAGACTGGTGTGGTTTTGCACTGTCAAAGATTGTTAAATATAGGGTTTTAGTAGAGATCAGAATCCTTTTCTAAACATAGTTGAAAAATATCGTATTCTGTTATAGTAGTTTAAGGCTGATACATCAATTTAACCAAAATACAGCTCCATATGCACTGTTGCTGTGGATTTTTAACATACTTTGTTTATGTATGTGCATATTGTGTATGCAATGTGTTACACTGATGCTATTTTCACCTTCAACAGAAGTTGCACAGCCCTCCATGGACTAAACCTGAAGATAAAAAATCACCTGAAAGAAGTGAGAAAAAATTTGAAGAGTCTGTTAGTACAAAAGAAAAAAAACTCTGAGCACTACTAATCTACATTAAAAAAACTCATCGTTTGCTTCCATCTTCATACTCTTTTTAGTCCAGAGGCATGAGATGTACCACGTTTCTAAAGCATGCATTTTTCACTCTTTGATGAATGGTTGTAAATTAGTCTAGAATAGACCAATTAGTACCTTTCAGCAATAATCCAAAATGGATGTTTGAAGAAATGCTTCGTAAGACAGTCCTGTTTTTGAACTATGGTTCTACCTGATCAGTCAGTGCATACTACAACTTCGTTTCTTTGTAAACAGCCATTCTCCAGTATTTTCTTAGTCTGTTCTATTTCAGGTACCTTTATGGCAAATTAGGTTTTAAATCAAGTTAAGAATTAAGGGGCAGTTAATGTGGGGAAAATAAAAATATTTGTGTAAACATAGTTGAAGTACAATATAACTCGTAAGAGCAAATGTAAAAATGGAACAGTAGGGGTCCATGTATACTTACCTTTCAGTAATACCATCTTAAATCTGCTTACTCAGACAATAAACGATGTTTGTTTGGTTGGTTTTTTTCTAACTGCTATCACATCTAGTCCATTCTTGAGCACTGAAGCATTGACAGAAATGCAGAGATAAAGGGATGGAGATCAAGCGAGTCCTGGCTTTTAGAATCCAAGCAAAAATTTTTGCAGGTGGCCCTGAGTTAAAATGTTATAGTTTGGGTACCAGTCATGGGAAGCCAGCTCCATCCCTTGTATTTGTGCTGATCTCAACAGGATAAATATACTTTAAAGGGTAAAACCCACTTTGTCCACTACAGATGGCCTTTGGTCACTCCAGCAGAGAGGAGCATTTTGCTTGGGAGCATCTCTGTGACTCTTAGGGTTCTTCCAGTTTCTTTCCAGGTTTTTTGGACAAGAAGGCAGAAAGGAAGGGAGGAGAAGGAAGAGAAAATACTTTTCCTTCTTTGTGTGCATGTTATTATTGGTCTAATTTAGGAACTCATATGCCTCATCTTGTTGAGAAGCGAATCTTTCAAGAACTACTGCCTTAGGAACAGTTCATTGCCTGATGCAATTCTTTACGCTTTCCTCTTGCATTAAGAGTTTTAAGCAATTGCAGCTCATAAACTCCCATCTTTCTCTTCCTATACACAGCAGTACATTGCAACGTTTACTAGACTGAAAGTAATTTACTTAGATGGGTTTGCTTTTCCTCGCTTTTGAATCAGTTTAAAAAGCAAATAGACAATTTTTAATTTTGTTTAGTGGTGTTCTCTGCTCCAGTGTTAGCTTTTAAGATTTTACCTATCCTTCAGCAGTCTCATCAAATAGCTCTCTCTTCCTTGCTGGTGTAAATAATGTTTCACCATGATGTTATCTGTGCTCCTCTACTCAAAGGTAGCTATTGCAGAATGGCAGGTTTCTCTGCCTGGAGAAATTTCAACAAATTTAAAAAGACAAGCTCATAAGCTGACCAAATGATGGCGAAGTACTGCTCAACATAGTTGCACCACTGCCAAAGAAAAGATTATCCATGTTAAGTGTTAAAAGAAGTGAAATCCTGGCCACAAAACTAACCAGAAGAGATGTGGCTTTTCACAACTGATCCTGAAATCAATCATCATCAAATCGTACCTATCGAACACAACATGAATTTGTTTCAGGCAAATGTGGGCCACGTTTTCAGTGAGGAATAGACTTGATCCTGTCATATCTGCAGCTGGTGCTAATTTCTAGTGATGTCAAAACTGACATTTCTTTGCATATGACACACCTTAATTGAAATATCCGTGGTACGAGCTGAAAAGGTCACTAAAACTGGTGCAGTCATCTGTCTAGAAAGGATGTGGATCTTCAGGTACGTGTCCCAGAGGAAGGAGGTAAGTGTCCTACTTGTCATTCGTGTCACCTTTCTGAAGAATTCAGCAGTGCTGACAACACATCTACTGCTGCTGTAACTGCTTATTACTGCTTGTCAAGAGATGGCTTGGGGTCAGTGTCCATGGCATGAAAAAGCTGTACCTTATCAGTCAGCAACAGTCTCGCTTGAGGGGTTTTTATAACACACATGAAACCAGTGCACGGTTGAGCAGCCCTCTGCTTTGTGGGAATGTGCATCATTTAATTGGTATTTCGCCATCGGATAATTATTGTAATAAATCTGTTTACCATCAGAAAAGCAACACAAAATATCAGGGTGAGTGGGGTGGTGTGAGGTTATTTTTTGTGTTGTTTGGTTTCCAAAGGTTTTAGGGTTAGAAGTTTTCCTCCGGCCATGGGATGGTGATCGGGGTATGTTTGCATGCATGCACGTTTTCACTTTTCCTAAGTGATGGTGAAGATCAGGTGAGACAGAACGGACTCAGGCCATGTTGGTGCGGAGAATTAATCCTTCACCTTTGATTAAAGCTGTAGAAATCAATTATGTCTAGTCTGAGGATTACTTGACTACCTTCACATGGGACATTGATTGCCACTTGTTTTCAGTGTGATTAACAGTTTCAATTCTTGAAGGTGATGACTGGGGGAATCCCTGCTTACCTTCTTGCCTACTATTTTTAGAATAATCCACGTAATGGTATAGAATTAAGAAAAATAATGATATATAATTTCATCTGTTATCTGTATATGGTGTTAATATATCTGATATGTTTTCTAGGTGTGGATTAACCAATATTGCTATTCTGAAGATTCTAGTCTTTTACTGAGAGGCTGGTACACATCTAAAGTAAAATCTATCCTTGATGGTTTTATCTCAGAGAATTACAGTTCAAAAACATTAACATCTTCTCAGCTGGAGAGGAAACTTCTTATTTTTATACATAGAAAAAAAAGTATTTTAGGGAGGATGCTGGAATGTATAAGATCTTGTGTGGTAAAAATCAAGGATTCTCTAAAGTAACAAGTGATGGGACAAGAGGAAATGGCCTCAAGTTACACCAGGGAAGGTTTAGGCTGGATATTAGAAAAAAATTCTTCACTGAAAGTGATCAGGCATTGGAACAGGCTGCCCAGGAAAGTGGTGGAGTCACCATCCCTGGAGGTGTTCATGAAACGTGTAGATGTGGTGCTTCGGGACGTGGTTTAGTGAGTTAGGTGGTGTTGGGTTGGACTTGATCCTTGAGGTCTTTTCCAACCTTAATGATTCTATGATTATAGGATTTTGAAAAGAAAGAAGAAAAACCCCTCGTAATAATGTTCCCAGGTATTTACACTGCTTGCCACTAGCAAAGGTGTGTGTATTTTCCCTCGGTGGATCAATAGCCATTCCTGCATTCCAGCAGTGAGAGTGAGTAGTTTCACATCTCAGTGCTGGGATGAAGCTGAACAGACCTTGCCATTCCTCTGGCTTGCACTTACTCAACATCACAGAGAACAAGGTCATAAAGGAGTTCCAGCGTATACAATTTGAGTCACAGTCACGCTTACTTGGTCTCTCTAGAATACACTCAAACTCTTTCACGGTCCGGTTCAGAACTGTGTCACTGGGTCTGTTTCCCGGTGAGGACTCGCCGTACCGCAGGGCTGCACATCTTCAGAAAAGGTTTGGTATTTCCATCCAGTTGCCTGGCAACCAGGTCACAGACCATATCCTCCTCTTTGCAAATAAGAATTACACGTAAGGAGACATAAACGCTTTTCTGTTAGAAATTCCAAAGTTTAGCAGTTAAAAGAAATTTAATTTCCACTTTAAGAGCAGGTCAGACACGTTCTCTTTTGTTAAGAGAATGAGACGGATTTAGGTTGATTCAAACTTTAAACTTCAATTTCAATTTTACTTTTAGATACTAGGCTTTTCTGAATTAATCTCTCTGTCCATCTGTATCTATGTGCCTATGTATTTGTAAGCATACGTGCATCCTGTATGTAGGTATATACATAAATGTCCGTGTAAATATGTATATACATGTATGAGTGAGTATGTCAATTGAAACTTCTGGAGTGCAATTTCCTCCATGGTCAGTTATTACTTTGCATTATAAAATTTGTAATTAAGAGAGGTGTTCACTTTACCAAAATGACAAAGATCAAGTCAAAACCTATGTATAACAAGAGAACACTAAATTCTTCTAATTTTCTTGTTGGAAAGCTATAAAAATGTTTAAGGCTATCTGTGTTTAGAGTGGGTTATCTTCTGCAGCAGAATATGGTAGATTATTCTGGTTGAGTTAATTTCATTAGATTTTATTTCTGTTTTAATCACTCAGGATGTGTGCTTGATGAACCCCTACTTAAGAAGCAAGATGGTGAAATCCAGTCCGTTATTGACCTTTTGTACTGACTTTTATATACACAGGACATTTTTTATTCAGTTATGCAGTAACCTGTGAAGTTTGTATTTTTTTTTCAGAAATAATGGGCTATGAAAAGTCAAAAATTACAGTGACAATCCAGTTCAGATGCGTGTGTTACAGAGTGGTCAGAAGGACTGACTTCTCCATTTAAACAGGACTTTCTTTCCATATGAACGGAGGATGCTCTCACTGAGTCTTAGAACATTAAGCTTAGGATGCATTGGGTTCTTTGTCTCTGCCTGACCTTGTGGCTTTGGGAAAGCTGTGTCACTCTCACTTCTGTAAGTACTTCAGTACAAATGATATAATACTTTTTATAATGTGAATATATTAATATGGGATAATTTAATATTTTAAGGACATTCCCAGATTTAAAAAAGTTATGGGAGCATATGAAATACTAGCACATTTTCTTTGCTTGTTGAAAAAAAAAATTCAAATTTTATTTCTTAAAGGGAAGGTCCAAAAATTAGTGGATTTCTGGAAAAATCTCAGAACAATTCATAATAGCTATTTTAGTTGTCTGTCTTCTATTTTATGTATTTTGAGCATTTTTTTTCTATTTATATTGACAAGGTGTCTATAAGGAAAATTCCCATTTTCGTTCCACTTAAAAATGCAAAAGAAAACCATTTAATGATTAAAATAGATAGTCTGCATTTGCAGTCCTCCTTGCTAGTTGCCATTTTATTTTACTTTTAATGTGTCTTTTTAAAGTTGACCAAGCAATCAACTGCTGTT